TAAATGACATATGATTGACTGGCAACCCAGGCAGAACTTCATGGGAACTTATTCTTCAGTCTGGTCACCAATAATCTCTGAACTATCATTTTGCAAGTTTGGGAACTTAACTCTTTTTAGTTCACTTACAGAAAAGCAGTATTTTTTTTTTTTTTTTTCCTGAGACAGTGTCTCGCAATGTAGTTCAGGCTGGCCTTGAACTCACTGTGCAACCCAGGCTGGCCTCAAACTCATGGCAGTCTTCCTGCCTCAGCCTCCCAAGTGCTAGGATTACAGGCGTGCGCCACCACACCTGGCTAGGAAAGTAATATATTAAGAGAAGACTCCAGCCCACCAAACTCAAAGTGGATTCAGATATCAGAATTCCAACTTCCTAATCTACAATGAGGGAAAATTAACACTGCCTGGTAAGGCATAAAGTAAAAATTATGCAGATTTTATTTTAGACAACTCTGTAACTTAGAATACCTAGAAAAACTGGTAGGATTAAGGAGGGAAAAATCCTTGAAGGTACTGCTGAATTTTTCTGAAGATGTGAGGGATGAAGTTCCTGGAGAGAAACAGATCAGTAAAGAATTACCCTATATTTGACTGTGTGTTTTCTCTTGAGGTCAGTGAAGCAGTGGCTGTGAGGCTAAGAAACTGGCCAAGATTTTCGGTTCCACCTCATGGGGCTGAGGAAACAAAAGTTAGAATTTAGAAAGAAGGGCCCCAGTAGGCACTGCAGGCTCATCTGGGACCATTGCAAGACTAATGCCTACAGGTTTACCAGAAATGGACCAACCCTGTAAAGGTGGAAACTTGTCTTCTAATCAGCATAGTCTGAAGATGGATGAGGGTCGTTTGCCTCAGCCCTGAAGTTCTCAAATTGTGGTCTGCAGATCATCATCAGCTGAGATCTAGTTAGAAATGCAGATTCTTAGATTCCCACCCAAAACCTAGTGAAGGAGACCTTCTAGCAGTTTGTCACAAGTCTTCTAAGTGATTCAAATACAAGTGAAAACCATTTTCTAGGCCTACATGCTTGAGGACCAGAATATTCTTTCTGAAGGAAGATGGCATCTTCCAGAGACACAAATTATCACTACATTTTTCTCATGAAATACATCTGGTATTAGGCCAAGGATATAGCTCCATGTCACAAGTGCCTGCCTGGCAAGCACAAGGTCCTGAGTTCAATTCCTGGTACCCAAAAAAAAGAAAAAAAAATATGGTATTAATTCAGAAATTATTAGACATACCTGGAAATAAAATTGACTTACTAAAAATTTTTAAAAGACAATAAAAATAGATTCAGATTATCAGACAAATGGACTTTTAAATAATTATGATTAATATTTTCAAGAAAATATAAGATGAAAGATTTTACCAGATAACTGCAATCTGTTGAAAAGAATCAAGTGAAAAGTAACTGTAGCAGACCCCCTAAAGAGAGGATTAGTGAACCAAAAGATTGTGTAGTAGAAAATAGCCAGAATGAAACTCAGGTAAAAGGGTGGACAACACAGAGAAAGCATAGTGGAGTATGCTAATAGGTTCTAACATACATGATTAGAGTCCCAGATAAAGAGAGGAACTAGTTTTTCTTCATGGAACACCTGGAGAGAAGGTATTCCCTGATTGTTGGCCAAGCAGTGGTTATAAGACTTGGGTACCTGACAGGCATTTTCTTGAGAATGAACAAAGTGAGCCTTTCAAGTATTTGTTGCCCATTGTAAAATTTAAACTTTCAAGCAAAAGTTGGAATTTCAGAAAATGTGTACTTGTCATTAAGTGATATTGACAGTTTCCTAGTAAAGACAGTTCTAAGATTGAAGACAATATTAAAGGATGTATTTTTAATTGCTATATTATGAAAGGTGTCAGTATTGGGAAGTTTTGCATAACCAGGTATACCAGTATTTTTAAAATGACTAATGAAGACGTAGTGTTCCAAAATCATGGGTGGGTAAGGAGATACACTCAAAATGCAATATAGACCAACAGGCATTAGCATAACGGAATATGAAAAGTGTATTAATATATTTTGCATTCCACGTTACAACTAGCTACCACTTGTGTTCTGGTGTAGTATCAAAGGATATCCACAGTTGTGTGAAAAAACTATCATAGTAGTACTGCATATCTGTGTAAAGCCAAATAGTCTTTACATATTTTAACTAGCACATCATATTGATTGCAGGAGTAGATATAAAAATCTAGCCCTCTTCTAAGCCAGCATTAAAGGAAATAGACAAAATATAAAGCAGTATCACTCTTCTTACTAAATTTTTTATTTTGGAAAATATAGTTTATTTTTCATAGGAAATGTTACTGGTGTTACCATGTACTAGAGGATATTATTTTAAATAAATTAATAAACTTTAACTTGTTAATTTTAACTTTTAATAAGGTAAATATTAACATATACTCATACATAAGCAAAGGCTCTTTGGGGAATAAGAGATGGTAGGGGGAGGGAAAGTAGATTGGGGGGAAGGAAAAGGAACTGGGCAGGGAAATGATGAAAATGGAGCTTTTGCAAATATGAGGAGAACCAAGAGATAGAAGGAACAGGGAGGGAGGAGAGAGTAGGGGATGAAAAAAAGAAGAAAAAGGAATTAAAATGTCTCATGTACATTTTCCACCATAATCATTATGTACTGTAAACATGTACTAAAAAAAGGTATAAAAAGAAACCAAAAATATTGGGAACCATTACTATAGAAATTAGAATATATAATTAAGGTATCATGAACAGTTTTATGTCATTTTTATGTGAAAAAACATGAAATGGAAAATATCTTGGAAAACAAATATATTAACAGAAAATATGAATAAGTGTAACTATATTAAAAGTAACATGAACTTTTTATTTAAAACTTTCCTACAGGGCCTGGGGATTTAGCTCAGTGGCACAGCGCCTGCCTGGCAAGCGCAAGGTCGTGAGTTTGATTCCCGGTACCAGAAAAAAAACAAAAAATAAAAAATAAATAAAAATAAAACTTTCCTACAAAGAGCACTCTAAACCAAATGGCTTTTATTGGCAAACTTTTCCTATCATTTAAGGAGGATATATCCTAAATCTTACATATATTCTTATAGAAAATAAAAAATAGGAACTATTTCCCAACTTATATAACCTTCATTCACAAAGCTGGCCACTGTCTTATAAGAAGAAAAAATTATAGGCCAATTTCTTTCACAAACATGGATGTAGAAGTCCTAAACTAGGGGGTTAGGGAGGAGTTGGAGGACAGATAAAAAATGGTCAACATACAATATGTGTGTGTATACCAGTTTCTCAAAACAAATGTAATTATTATATATAATAAACATATACCAATTTTTTAAAGAAGATCCTAAACTAAGTAGTACGGACTCTACATAAAAAATACATTTACATTTTAAAATGCTGCACGTTGGGTTGGGGTATAGCTAAATGGTAGAATGCTTGTCAAACATTTGCAGGGCCCTAGATTAGATCCCCAGCACTACAAGAAAACCAAAAAACAAACTTGATCAAATTGAACTTATCCTAGGATTTCATTGTTGTTTTATCATTTGAAACTTGTCCAGTGTTTTAAAATAGCTCGTATATAGGGTTTTGAATGTTCCTCACACAAAGAAATGATATGTGCCTGAGATAGATATATATGCCATTTACTTGGATCTGATTATTATACATTTTATACATGTGTTGAAATGCCACATCATACCCATGACATGTTAAAGTTACTATGTGTCTTGAAAAAATAATATATCATAAAGTTTTTTAATAAAAATTGATATGACTCACCATATTTACAGAAAAAAGAAAATGATAATCTGCATGGATTAAAAAAGCATGAGATAGAAGTTGAACGTACACACTGTGATTAAAAAACAAACAAGAACAACAACAAAATCCTCTGAGCCTGCTTCCTATAAGAATGGAAGTTGTGGTAGATTGACAACTGGTGGTCAGCTTGTAACACCCAGCTGAACTGAATAAGCGTGGTGCTGGGTATGGAAGGACTACCTGAAGATTGTTGCCAGCAGCATAGAAAGAAAACTGGAAGGAAAGGTGGTATGCTGTTGATTCTCCTGGAGAAGCTCGTCCTGCTGGCTTTCCTGATATAAACTCGGTTGTTCTCATCATCAGAGGAACTCAGGACTTCATTGTTGCTGAGGATGGCTGTGGTTTTTTTCGGAGAAGTTCTGGTCCTTACTTGGAGTGTCACTTCCTGGCTCCAATGCAGATCCCTCAGCCTGTTGGCACAGATCTTTCACCCCGCTGGCACAGACTTGCTAGCTTCCAGCGCTGATGTTTGGGCCTTCCAAGTGCAAATCCTTGATACAGACTTGCCTGAGAGATTGTTGTGGGCTCTAGACCTCCAGCTGGACTCGTGGAGGGCATTTCTATGGGTTCTAGGTCTTCACCTGGACTCATGCAATACATTGCCATGGGATCCAAGCCCTTAGCTGGATTCTTTGGTTCTCTAGTGTGTGGACAGATCTTCTACAGTCTTTTGCATTTGACTCTTTGGGTGAATATTATAAAATAGTCCTATAAATTATGTGTCCTATATTAAATCTTTTCCCTTGTAAAGCTCGACTACTACAGAAGTGAATTACTTTAATTTGCCAAGTGAGATCTGGGATATCTTATAGCAGACATCACAGTTAACGGTATAATGCTGAAAGCATTCTTTCTGGATGAAGGAACAAAGCCTGTACTCTCATGAGTCCCTTTCAACACGTGCTAGAGTTTCTAGTCCAAGCATTAAGACAAGAAATGAAATGAAAAATGTAAAGTTAGGGAAAGAACTAAAATTCTCATTTTACAGATGACGAGAATCTACATGAATAATGTCTTGATTTCTGGAATTGATACTGATGGCAGATAGCATTCCTGTCATTTTGACTTTGCCTCTGTTCTTAATGTGAAGAAATCCCTTCAATATATGAAAGTACCTTCTCATTCCTCAAGTGTGTACAGCATAGGTCTTACTCCCACTATTCCTTTGCTTTCTCTACAGGTCCTATCTGACCCCCGTACGGGATGAGGAAGCTGAGTCTTTACGGAAAGCGCGCTCCAGACAAGCTCGGCAGACTCGGAGGTCCACTCAAGTGAGTGTGACTTTTTTTTTAGTCCTTTTGTTTATCAACCTTTTCATTGGAGGCACATTTATAGTAACATGAGTGTCTTATTTCAGCCACTGCATTAAACTTACTATGTTAAATCTTATACTATGTAGAATTGATTGAATTTACATCTACATCTATCTACTCTGACCTCTATTCCTCTAGATTCAGAGGAAGACTGATCATTCCACTTGTGCCTGAGGACTTTTGAGAACCCCTCAACCTCTCCTACACTTTACAGACCTCTAAGGGAAGATAGTTAAATAGTTCCTCAAAATGATAAGCAGTTTTCTTTTGCTCCATCACACTTTTATGTATATATGTAAGAGAAATGAAAATGGATTCATATAAAAATTTGTTGATAGTGTTTATAGCAGCATTATTTATAGTAATCTAAAAGTAGAAACAACCCAAATGTCCACTAACTAATGAATGAGTAAATAAAAAATAATAGAATATTTGGCATTAAAGAGCAATCAAGTATTGGTACATGTTACAACGTAGATGAGAAAACATGCTAAGTGAAAGAAGTCAGACACAAAAGACCCTGTATATTGTATGATTCTATTTATGTGTTATCCTCAAAATAGGCAAATCAGAAACAGAAAGTAGATTAATTCTAAGAGACGGAAGGAGTAAGAATGAGAATGACTACTAGTGGGTGTCAACTTTCTTTGTGGGCTGATAAAAATGTTCTGAAATTAGGTAGCAGTGATAATTGCATAACTCTGAATATACTAAACTCCAAGGAAATATATACTTTTAAAGGGTGAATTTTATGATATGTGGGTTATATTTCATTAAAGAAGCACTTTCCTCAAAAAGGAACATTTTAAGGGAGCGATCAAGGCCGTTTAAGGAATATGTCATATAGTCTGCATTATATTTTGTTGAAATCACCATGCTTAGAATCGATTGGTAGTGTATGTGTGCCAACCCTGGAAACCGGAAGGAAGCTATTCCGGTAGGGTATGTTTGCTAGGAAGCTGTTCATAGTACTGTTCCATGCTGAAAATGAAAGGGGTGTGAACTGAAGTTGTAATGAGAATGGAGGAGAAGGCCATGAATTAGTTATGGAGACGGAAAAAGATGACTTCATGAGTGATGAAGCACAATGAACAGTAACAGCCAGAGAAGTAAAAAGAAAGCCAGAAAATAATAGTGGCAAGAAACGAATGAATAATCAGTTTCCAGCGAAAAAGAGAATTTTGACAATTTTAAATACTTTAGAAGTCAAGTAAGAAAGTTGATGACTGAAAGAAGAACATTATATACCATGTGGCACTTACATATACTGTACGGGTCTTTCCTGGCCACCCTAAAGTGGATGAGTGTGCTGTTATGCCATACCAGCCCCTTTTGCGGGGGCAGGTACTGGGGATCACTCTGAACTATCCCCAGCTGTTTCTCACTTTAGTTTGAAACAGGGTCTCACTAAGTTTCTGAGTTGCCCAGGCTGGGCTCAAACTTGTGATCCTCTTGCTTTAGCCTCCCAGAATGATGGTAGTATTACACGTGTGCACCACCATGCTTACCTTTTTTTCAGTAGCAATAATCACGCCTCGAATAAACCTCACTGGCTACGATGCTGCCACTGAGCAAAGCTAGTTTTCTTCCCCCCTTTGATTATTTGTCTGTTTCCCTTAATTGAATTTGTCCTAGATAAAGACCAAGACTGGCCATATTTTCTTGGCTTTGTTTTGTTGTGGTAATTATACATAACAGAATTTACCAATTCAACCATTTTTAAGTGTTCATTTCAGTGGCATTTACATTCACGTTGTTGTTTAGCTATCACTACTATCCATGTCTGAAACTTTCTTCATCTTCCCACTGAAAACTTGTGTCCATCAAATAATTCCTACTTCCCATTTCCCCTGGCAACTACTGTTCTACTTTTGGTGTTTATGAATTTCACCACTTTAGGAACCTCAGATGAATTATGCAGTATTTATCCTTGCATAACTTGCGTATTTCACTGATTTTATCATTAACAAGGTTCATCCATACTGTAGCATGCTCAGAATTTTGTTCCTGTTTCAGGATGAATAATATTCCATTGTATATTATGCCGCGTTTTGTTTATCAGTTCATCTATGTTGGGGATTCAGCTGGTGTGAATAATGCTATTGTAAGAAGGGCTTTGGAAACATCTTTTCAGAACCCTGCATTCAGTTCTTTTGGGTATATCCCCAGAAATAGAATTTGCTGGATCATACTGTAATTCTGTTTTTAATTTTTTAGGAACTGCCGTACTATTTTCCATAGTGGTCATACCATTTTACATTCCTGTTAGCAGTGCACAAGATTCTGATTTTTCCACATTCTTGCCAATACTTGTTTTCCGGGGTTTTGTTTTTGTTTTAAGAATAATAGCCATCCTACTGGTTGTGAAGGAACCAACTGACTGTATTTTTGTTCATCATCTTTTCCCCCTAGCATACAGTAAATAATCAATATGTACTTATGAATAAATATGAACAAGTGATGTGCAAATGGCAAGAGAATATAAACTGACCTGAAATCACTGCAATTTTATGTATGTAAGGATGGGAGAAGATAGGTACATTAGCTGGTGAAGGCCATGGAATTGAAGGTGGAGGAGACTGGGACATGTGAGTATCTTGTAGGGAAAGGTCCAGTAGAGGAGTGAAAGTCCATGTCAGAACTTGAAGGTTCTTGGAGCTCTTTGAAATGTGTAGATTACTTCTGAAGATTTTATTAGAACCTTTATGAAATTCTGTGAGACACTCCTGGTACTTGAAAGAAGTGTTTATCCAGAAGGCAAACTCCAGACTCCTTAGGATGGCATGAGATCCTTTATGACCTACCTCTACCTGCTTTCCTAAGTTCAGTTATCTTTATTCTGTCTCCACTTCCAGCTCTCTTTATTCATTTACATGCTTCACCTTTGCTAAAATACCTACAGGTTTTTGATCACCCCTGGTCTCTCAGTTTCTTTGAGCAAGTCTATAGTGCCTTTTCTCCCTGCCTTCTACCCAGGCTCTTCTTGGTTTTCTCTTCTTTTTTTGAGTGTATTGTTTTGATTTTCTCCTCAAAACACACTGTTGGATATACCTCTATGTATTTCTGTGTTTCTGTATTATATTTTAAAATTTATTTATTTTTTCTTAGTATATGTTTGCAGTACATAATGATTACATTTATCATGGGGAGTTGGTATGTGTGCATAACACATCTTAATTTATTTTTGTCTCCTGCCCCTCCCATTCTTCCCTGCTCCTTCCAACTTTTGGTTACCTTCCCATTCGAAAAAGCTCTATTTCCATTTTTTTCCCATCCCCTTTCCCTCCTCTCCAGCTCTTATTCTCTTTTCTATTTGAAAATAACTCCCTACTTCCTATTACTTATCTTTTACTTTGCTATTTATTTATATTGGGTTTCTCATATAAAAGAAAGCATGCAATATTTAAGCTTATGTGTCTGATTTATTTCAGTTAATATTATGGTCTCAAGGTGCATCTATTTACCTATGAATGCCTCAAGTTTTACTCCATTGTATATAAATACCACATTTTCTTTGTCCAGTCATCTCCTGATGACATATTGGCTGCTTCTAAAATTTAGCTATTATAAAATTGTGATGGTATTAACATGGGTATGAATGTATCACTGTAATATGATGACTTTAAGTCTTTGGGGAAGATACCTAGAAATGGAATAGGTGGGTCAGATGGGATTTCTACTTTTGGTGTTTTGAGGAATCTCCATACTGATTTCCATAGTGATTGTACTAATTTCCTTCCTGTCAACAATGTAAAAGGGTTCCTTTTTCCTCATAACCTTGCCAGCATTTGTTATTATTTGATTTTTTGGTGATAGCTTTTCTTTCTGTAGTATTATTTCAGTGTTGTTTTAATTTGAATTTCTCCAGTGGCCAGCATTGTCGAACATTTTTTCATGCACTTACTAGCCATTTGTATAAGAAGTATCTGTTCATTTCAGTTGTCTATTTTTTTATTGGTTCTTCCATTTCAAGAAGTCTAATTTTTTTGAGTTCTTTGTATCTTCTAGTATTCTGTCCAAGGAATAGCTGACAAATATGTTTTCCCATTCTGTAGGTTGTCTTTTCAATCTGTTGATTGTTTCTTTCGCTGTGCAGAGGCTTTTTAATTTGAAATGATCCTATTTGCTGATTCTCAATATTATTTCTTGTGCCATTGGGATTCTGTTCAGAAAGTCCTTGCCTATGCCTATGTCTTCAAGAGTTTTACCTATATTACACTCCAGCAGATTGTCTCTATCTTAACATTTAACCTTTGATCCATTTTGGATTTAGGTTCAATCTTCAGCATGTAGATATCCAATTTTCCCAGGATCATTTATTAAAGAGGCTATCTTTCCTCCAGGTACATTTTTGTTCTCTTTGTCAAAGATCAAATGACTGAGTGTGCTGGGGCTGTTTCTACTTCTTTTTTTTTTCCGGTACCGGGAATTGAACTCACAACCTTGCGCTTGCTGGGCAGGCACTGTGCTGCTGAGCTAGATCCCCAGCCCCCTGTTTCTACTTCTTTTATTATTATTGTCTATATTGGTGCTATTGTTTCATTGATCTACATGTCTGTTTTTGTGCTAGTACCATGCTGTTTTTATCACTGTAGCTTTGTAGTATAACTTAGAGTCTGGAATTATGAGGCGTCCTGCTTTCCTCCAGAATTGCTTTTGCTATTTGAGGTCTCTTCTTGTTCCATATGAATTTTAAAATTGTTTTCTGTAGTTCTGTGAGGAAGGCTATTGGTATGTTGATTGAGATTGCATTAAATCTGTATAACAGCGTGAAAGTATAGCCATTTTGATCATATTGGTTCTGCCTATCCAAGAACAGGGAATAGCTTTCCTTTTTTTTTTTTTAATATCCTCTTTGATCTCCTTTTTCAGAGTACTGTAGTTTTCATTGTAGGGGTCCTTCACTTCTTTGGTTAGGTTAATTCTTTTTTTTTTTTTTTTTTTTTTTGGTTTTTCTC